GCCTCCCATGCGATGTAGAAAGCTGTTAAGAGAGGTACTGGACAAACGAATAGACCCCTAGATACATGGCAGATAACTGGAGCCTCCGTGTTCAGGAGCAGTTTATCTCTGCTGGGAACAAGAAGGAGAGGAGGGCTTCCTTCTCCGACATGGAACTTCATGGCACTCCCGGGTGGCTCTTTGGAAACAGAAAACTAAACTGACCGTCCAATTCTGAACATGCCTTTGCAGAAGCAATGCGACTACTCCCAAGTAAGCTTGCAGAGGACTACAGCCTAAAGTAGATCTCTGCACATTTCTAAAGCCAGTGGGACTTCGAGGGTATCCACACTGCAGAATTAGAGCACTTTGACACCACTTGAACCGCCATGGCTCTATCCTACAGATTCCTGGGGGTTTGTAGTTTGGGGAGGTATTCAACCTAGTCTGCCAAATAAGTCTGGTGTCTCACCAGACTACAAATCCCAGGATTCTGGAGGATAGAGTCATGGCAGTTCAAGTGGTGTCAAACTGTTTTAATTCTGCCCCGTGGATGCGCCCTTAGAGGATTTACTTCCGAGAGGGGTTTCACGGATTGAGAGGTATGCCTGCCTTGTATGCCCACTTCGTTACCTGGGACTTGAGCAAATTTGGAGCAGAGCTTCATAGAAACTGCAAATGAATCTTTGATCTGAGCTGGCAGAGTACTTGTTACGTTCATATTCTGACTTACTAAAGTTGGTGGACCTCAGTGGGACTTACCGAGTGCCTAGGATCTGGGCATCCCTCAGGTGTTACCCTAAACGTATTTACTTAAAAGTAAACCTATTGGACCTAGCAGGGCTAACTTCCATAAGAGCTGAGCTGGGGGGATTTATAGGTGGTGCCTGACTATGGTAGGGAGATTTAAAGAAAAAAAAATTCTTCCCAGCAGAAAATGAGTGCCAAAAGTTCTTGTAGTATTTTGGTAATACTATGTTAAACTAAGAAATATTTTCAGTGTGGGATCCATAAGGCTTAATGAAAGCAGTATTCCAGACTTTGCGTTGTCCCTACAGCCTGACACAGCAAAGCACACTGATGCCTGGAAAACTACTTTGCAAGATGCGGGGAGAGAGAAATCCAGAAGCATGGCACTGGACACCAGCAAGCAGCCACCAAGGTTTATTTTTTAGAGGAATGAAATTTGGAGGATTTGGACAAGGATCACTGTTCAGGGCTTCTACCTGAAGAGCCTCTTTTCTTCCCAACTGCACCGAGTCGGGTTAGGAGTGGCCGAGGACCAACTCTCCCAGGATGCCTACATCCAAGTGTAAACCGCTTGGCTTTGAATGGCTCTAAAGGGCCTCGAAAGAGATTTTCTCCTCAATCAGGTTCACAGGAAGGTGGCGGCTCTTTTAGGAAGGCCGTTGAAGGGGAGGCTGGCCTAGGCGGGATATAAATACAGTAGATAGATAGATAGATAGATAGATAGATAGATAGATAGATAGATAGATAGATAGATAGATAGATAGATAGATAGATAGATAGATAGATAGATAGATAGATAGATAGATAGATAGATCTCTCTGTTGAATTAGTTGGGGTGGAACTTCCTCGCGAGTTTCCAGGCCCCGATCCCCAAGGAGGAATGTCATTGCCTTCTTCCGAGTCTGAGAGAGTGTGACTCGCCCAACGTCACCCAGTGGGCGGCGATTCGAAGCCTGTTCTTCTGAGTCCTATTCCAAGGCTCAAACCACTACGCCATGCTGACTCTCAAGTCACACATTATGGAGCCTTTAATAACTGAGTTTCCATATCAACTAAGCTTACATAAGGGGTTATTTGGGGGTTCCATGGTTAAGGCTATCAACATTCAAGTTCAACAGAAGAGCTGGAATTTGAACCCATTCGGGCACAAGTTTGATTATATCCACCACCACCCTCAATAAACCAGCAGACTTAAAGTACACCTACTACCTTGTTTGAAAGCACATGCAAGGGATGTCGTGGTCTACCTTTCAGGATTGTTGTAAGAACTCCTGATGTATGAAACGCTTCCGAGTGGCGGCTGGTGGCTTAAATGTCAGTGGGGAGGTGGTTACACAGACTTTTAGTCGGAGCTTTTAAAGTCTATCTACTTTGAACATAAGATTCAGCTTCTTAGATGGCTCCACCTGGGATAGGGCTGGAAAAGTTTGAACTAAAACGCAGAACAGATTTGCTGACTGACATGGAAGCCACCAGCCTGAAGTAACCTGAAGGAGAAGTCCTTTGTGTGTCAGGCTTCAGTTCTCAGAAGCATCCAGGTTTCTACAATGGCAAGATGTTTCTGAAGTCCTGGACCAATGCTATTCAAACAGGCTTGATTTGCGGTGGGGCTGTTACATTGCAATCGTGAGCATCTGCGCAACAAGGCCTTGAAACACTGCTCAAAACTTTGCCCTCCCTCTTGCCTGAAATTCTTTGCAACCAGACACATTAAAATCCTGAACTAGTGCTCCTCCTTATGATAGGATGTTCTTATACAGTGTTACACGGAAGAAGGTATGATTGCATTTTTAAAAGTCCAAAGAAAGGCTTGAATTCTCTGCACCTATGCATCACCTGGAAGTAGCCCCAGATGGAGGAGAAGTAGGACCTTTACAAACTGGCAGAAATAATCCAGCTTGAGACCACTTTAACTGTCCTGGGGCTTCGCAGCGCGATTACTCCCGAAGTAAGGCCTTCTCACATCAGGAGGACTTGTCAAGCCCCAGGGAGTGTTTACTTGGAGCTGAGCCTCACTCTGTTCAAAGAACTTTACTTCTCCCTCTTGAATATTGTCTTCTTGGAATGCTTAATTTGTTGTTGTAGTTGTTGTTGTGTACCTTCAAGTCGTTTCTGGCTTATGGCGACCCTAAGGCGAACCTTATCATGGGATTTTCTTGGCAGGTTTCTTCAGAAGGGGTTTGCCATGGCCATCTTCTGAGGCTGAGAGAG